TATAGTGCCAAATATTGATTCCTAACCCTAATCTAAACAAGGCCAACGAACCTACTGTAAAGATTTCAGACCCAATACTATTACCAATTTATCACAACACTTCCTATAAGTTTATATTTTACAATATCAGGTATCCCAATTTAATTATGTAGCTCCTAAGAATATTATCCCACTACGTGAACAAATTATATTAGCAGGTAGGTCATGATTTTAGGAGACTAGCAAAGCTGATTTGGTATTTTTATGATTTTTCTATGATTTACTACGAATTTTACCAGTTTATTTCCAAGACTAAATTAACACATACTTTTAGAAAATAAAAAACAACGCCACCAAACCGCCCTGGCGAGCGCAGCCATTGGGAGCATAGCAGCAGATGAGGCGCTGCCATGCCTAAGCGCCCAAATACATGACAAGGAATGGCGGTCCAGGCGCGGGCATGGACGGCCCACAAAGATGTCTGCCCAAAGAACATAAGACCGCAGACCAAAGAACCAAAACGGATGTCCCACGCGCAGAGAGGGCGCGGCCCAAGCGCACAGCTTCGACGACAACTTACGAAATGGCCCCTGGACTATCTCAAATTTACCCCGCAGGACATTGGTACTATTTACTTGAGTCATGTATTTAGTAAAAAGGACCCCGTATAATTCTTTTGCTTGGATATATGCCCTCCTCACCTTGCTTCTTCAACCTCATAACAGAGCGCACGTAGCAGACCCAGGGCAGGGGCCGCGGTGCAGACCAACGCGGGGCCGTGGGGGCGGCTCTTCGGCGAGGCTGGTCGCGTGGTGGTGCGGCACGACGACGACGACGAAGGCGCCAGGGAGGAGCAGTGTACACGGCATGGGCGGGGCGAGGCGCTGCGGCTACGGAGCTCGGCCGATGGTGAGTGCGAGCCGGAGGTGGAGCGGTCCAGCGCGGGGACCAGGGCGTGGGCGCTCTCGCGCGGTGGAAGAAGAAGGAGAGGCGACTGCGGGGCTGCGGTGCTGGCGAAACCGGACTCCCAGGCACCGGTGGACCAAGCGCGTGGGAGAGGCCGACACCGGTGCAGACAGCCAGCGAGGCACCGAGGCTCAGTGCGGATGGAAACGCGGTGCGGGTGCGGCACCGGACCACGCAGCGGGACTAGCAGGCGCATGAGGGAGACAATGCCTAGAAACCGCAGGCCCGGCGTGGACTCGAGGGCCACAGGCGTAGTCGCGCGCGGTTAGCAGCAGGGCTCGGTGCCCACGCGCGCTGCGGCCGAGCGACGGCGACGAGACGGCCGTGGAACAACACGGAGCACCGGCGCTGGAGGAGCTGCGCCATGGAGCAGCCGAACCAGCGTGGGTCGAGTGGCTCGCGCGCTTGCCTGCAGTGGTCGGCGATGAAGCGCGGCCACGGTGGGTGCTACGTCTCCGGCCACGAGAGATGGGGAGGTGGCGCGGGACCGTGCGGTTGCTCGCGCGTGAGGCAGGAAGCAGGGAAAGACCGTGAGATGTGTGGTAACTGGTGAGCAAAGCGAGCACGGCCTGGCTTCCTCAAGAAGCCGAGGTAGGAGACAGCAGCAGCTCGGAGATGACCGGCCTGCTTGTTCGCTCGAGAGAACAGTGGAGCACAGGCAAGCAGACGTAGACAAGACCAGCAAGGTCAGAGACAAACAAGACAGGCCGAGACAGAGGCGTGGGAACTCGGTGAGCTAGAGTTTTGCTCAGGCGATAGCAGCTTGGCGTGGAAAAAAACAATCGGAGACAGACATGACAGGAGCAGACAGGGGCAGGCAGAGGCCAAGTCAAGGAGATACGAAAGACAGACGCGTGAGAGAGAGCGAGGTCAACTTGCACAGAGGACAGATTTCCACCGCTAAATGGGAAACTCTCATCACCGTTCATGCATATAAAAATAGACCCGTGAGTCTATATATATATATATATATATAGCTCTCCTTCTATTTATTAAAGACTTTTATTCTATTATAAAAGTTGCTAGTCATGCCGAACCTTAAAGATCAAATCGTTCGATAGCATCGTCGTTTGACATTCCTAAATATTTCTACGCACTGAGTAATTTAACTTGGACGTTGATTCAAGTCCGTGAAACTAAGTCACACAAGATTCACTTATCGCCTCAAGTACGACTTAAATTAAAAACCTGAGAAATTCGTTTCGGAAATTTTTCTTAAGCCTAAATCGTGGTGCTAAATAAGATCGTAACACCGGGGTGTTACACTTGTTAGGGTGAGCTTGACACTTGATTTGATAGAGCTGATGGTTAGCTTAGTATCTTAGCCATTAGAGCTAGCTTGTTAGTTTAGCCTATGTGTTCTTATTTTAAAAGTTGTTGTTTAAATATTAAATTATTGCATCATCATCGCATGCATATAGAGAACGAGTTAACGGAGATTGTGACCACCGGCGAGCACGAGTTCGAGGAGATCATCGAAGAGTACAAGGAGGAGATTCTCATGCAGGAGGAGGTCCTGAAGCCACCACTGACTGACGCGGCTGACACCGCGCCTACCCAAGGCAAGCCCCGGTGTATAACCTCTATTTTTCATATTCACCGTATATATATGTGTTGTGCATTTACATTGCACGAAATTTTATGGAAACCACATATATATATATATATTTACCCTATGAGTTCTACTAGTGCAGGTTCGAGTAACTGCTATGCTTAGGTTGTCGGTAGCGTGAGTAACTGCCGTTACTCACAATAGATGATTATTATTACTCTCATAATAAAATGATGAAAAGAAAATGGTCTCCGGGCAGAGATATGGCATGGGTTATTGGTGGGTGTAACAAGTTGTGTCCTGCGGCCATGGGGTTTAGCTTGGTTACATTGTTTTCTCTGTCCGTGTCGATTGAGGACCGTCCATTGCTGTGGATGGTAGTCATGTCATAGATTTATTATCCTGAGCACATACTTACTTATGGGAGCGGGAAGGCTCGTTACTCTCTTATCGTGGGTTTTGGCTCTTTTTCGGACCGACTGATTAGGGGCGGGAAAAGGTGGAGGTCTAAGCACCATACTAAGATCGGGTCTCAAGTGTGGGGGCTTGGAGTCCAAGTTTGAACGGGGACCTAGATCCCTCGATAGGAGATGAATTGGTTAATCTTGTTTGTGCCTGGGGTACAAGCGAGGCGTGTGTTTCGGCGTATCCAACTGGGATACATTGGTTCACGAATCTTCGTTTTCGTGTGACGGTACGACTTGGCTATGGCCTAGCACCGTAGTAAGAAATAGAATACTAAAGATGGTAAAATGGTTCTGATTACTCAACCCTTGCTTGAACGTAGAATATGTGCTTACCTAGATTGGTTAACTAATGTGATAATCCTGACCGCTAATAAAATTTGATCTTAAGGACTAACTACTAGTAATGTTTTTCGCAAAACAAAAGAAAAGAATAAACCATATTGCCTATCATATTCTTGAGAGTCGAAAAAAATATTCCAACTAGTCGGGTAAGTTTTGCGAGTACATTGTGTACTCATGTTATTTTACCCTGTTGTAGGTGTAGCTTGAGGAGTTAGCTCTTGTGTGTATGATTCTTCTGGTGGGCACAGATGAATACATGTATCGTTTCCGTTAGATGATTATTACATTCCGCTGTTTAATTATCGCGCTCTGAACTCTGGTATTGTAATAAATAATTTTCAAGACTCTATGTTGTACGAAATGGACTAAGTATTGTAAGCTCGTACTCATTATTGATCCTGAATGTAAAACGTGTATTGTTTCGAGTTCTTCCTTTGGGTGTTCTCGACAGAACTGTCTGTTTTAATCTATTTTTAGGGCGCTTAGTGTCTAGTGTAAGACGAGCGCCTCCAAAAATGTGTTATTCCAAGTAGTTCTGCCACACACCCCTACTTCAGCTCTTGCCATCCAGTTGTCCAGCCCCGCGCTTGCGCTTAGTGGTGGCCTCGTCGCCGGCCAAGCCGTACCACCGCCTTGCTTCCGTGCCTCCCACCCTCCCCAAGTCCTCCCTTTCTAAGGCCTTGTTTAGATTTTAAGTTTTTTTCACTCTCTCTCCATCACATTAAAATCTTTGGACATATGCATGGAGTATTAAATGTAGATAAAAAAATAACTAATTACACAGTTTGATTGTAAATTACGAGACGAATCTTTTGAGCCATTTTTGGACAATAATTATCAAATACAAACGAAAATACAATAGTGTCAAATATTAATTCCCAACCATCATCTAAACAAGGCCTAAGCACGCAACCATTGGAAGTCCCTCAAACCTCGAACCCCTAACCAAGAGAAAGATGAACAATGTCGCAAGGAAGATTGAACGCGGGAGCATGTCTAACTGATGAGAATGCAAGTTCTCAGGCATCTGCAAACGAGTAATTCTGTTTTTTAAAAAGGATCAGGCTCATCATTTGCTAATATGTAGGAAACTCATTTTCGGCGAAATCTTGTGTTACAAATGGGACAACGATGTTGGGATGAACATAAGCAACTCGATCTGGATCTAAATCTGAATCCACTTTGCGCCTTTGACCTGCGTCCATCCGAAGATGAAGTGCTGACCTCGTCGCCTCACCCTAATCTAATCACATGCAGATGCCGCTCCGTCACTCTGCTTACGCCGCCCCCCCTCCCCGATTACGCGGTCGCCGTCGCCGTCGGCCACCGCCAGCCCATGTGCCCTCCCTCCCCCGTCACGTCCTTCGCACGCGTCCCTACAGGCTACAATCCACTGACAACAGGTCCTGCCGTCCGCTAGGCCCACCCGTCATCCTCCGCGCTGCTCCTCGCCAGTTCCCCCACCTCGTGCTCACCTGCTCGGGGAGTCGCGGCGCACGCCTCCCGTCCGCCTTGCCATTTGAACACTCGAGCTCGAGAGCCATTTACGGCATCGCATCGCGCACTCCTGCCCCGCGACTCCTTCGATCCCCCTCGTGGTGGTGGCGCGTCGTGCGGGCGAGCTCTGCTGCTCGAGCTAGATCTCGGAGGAGGGGAAGGGGAGGGCTGCGGCGCCGCGCATTGCGTCGAGCACGATGAGGGCGCGTCGGGTCGGGGCGCTTCTGCTGCTCGCGGTCCTAGCGCTCGCCGCGTCGGCGGCGCGGCTGGACCTGGACGACGACGACGAGTCGGCCGTGCTGGACGAGCTGCTGGCCATCGACGAGGAGGCGGAGCGGGGCGGGCTGGACGCGGCGGGGGGCGCCGCGGAGGCGGTGCGGTGGGCGCAGTCGATGGTGCTGGTGCTCGACAACGACAACGCGCGCCGCGCCGTGGAGGACCACGCGGAGCTGCTGCTGCTCGGGTACGCGCCGTGGTGCGAGCGCAGCGCGCAGCTCATGCCGCGGTTCGCCGAGGCCGCCGCCGCGCTGCGCGCCATGGGCAGCGCCGTTGCATTCGCGAAGCTTGACGGGGAGCGCTACCCCAAGGCGGCCGCCGCCGTCGGGGTCAGGGGCTTCCCTACCGTGCTCCTCTTCGTCAATGGCACCGAGCACGCCTACCAAGGCCTCCACACCAAGTGAGAACGCTGCTTTGCTTTCTCTCTTGTCTCTTTTCGTTATATTATTATTACCAATTTATCGTTTGCTGGAGTGTCCTTTCATGCGTCTGACCAATGACTGGGAATTATCTGCATCTCATGTTGATAGGGACGCCATAGTTACTTGGGTAAGAAAGAAGACTGGTGTGCCAGTCATTAGGCTTCAGTCTAAGGATTCAGCTGAGGAGTTCCTCAAAAAGGACCAGACCTTTGTTCTTGGTTTATTCAAGAATTTTGAGGTACTGATGTAATATGAAACGATGGATGTGAATAAATGTGTCATTTTCAAATTTTAGTTTGCTCGAAATGTAAAAACTTGTGAAATAAACTTTATCATCTGTTCAATTTGTGTTCATGCATATACATATTTTGGCAGGGAGCAGAACATGAAGAATTTGTGAAGGCTGCAACCTCAGACAATGAAGTACAGTTTGTAGAAACCAGTGATACGAGTGTTGCCAAAGTTCTGTTTCCAGGTATTACATCCGAGGAGAAATTTGTGGGCCTCGTTAAAAGCGAGCCAGAGAAGTTTGAAAAGTTTGGTAAGTATTTTGTACATATATTTGGATGTATTTTATGTCCTTTGGCATTCTGGTGCTGTGAATCAGGAATCCTTGAGTAAGATTTTCAACGTGTTATAATGACATCTGCCTTCCTAATTCCGATAGTAACAATTTATCTTGCTCTTTTAGGGTAAGTACTTAAGCACTTGTTAAGTAATTTTGGATTTTCCAGATGTTCTTGTCTAATTTAAGAGACATAAAGGCTAAAGCTTACTGGAGAAAAGACACTGCATACTGAAACAAATATGCTGGGTTAAATTGCAATTCTTGTTCTATATGCAGTAACTCATACAGTGGGACTTTGCAGATGGAGAATTTGAAGAAAGGGCAATTTTGCGGTTTGTGGGGCTCAACAAGTTTCCCCTAATTACTGTGTTCACTGAGCTCAATTCGGGCAAAGTATATTCAAGCCCTATTAAGCTACAGGTTGGCACACTCTGCCTTTTTCTCTACTTTGCTGATCAATCGCATGTTTAGGATCCCAAGTGTGCCCAAATTTACTAAAAGGGTGCCAGCTATTTATATTTCATTCACTGCAATTAATCATTAACTGTATAATGACCAAAAGAAAACTATAGTAGACTTATAATCCTTATGAAAGAACAGTTGGATTTACTCTCGCAAATTTTTTCTAGGTCTTCACCTTTTCAGAGGCTTATGATTTCGAAGATCTTGAATCTATGGTTGAAGACATAGCCAGAGCATTCAAGACAAAGGTGCCAACATATCGATGCTTTTATTTTGTTTCTGACCATGATCACATCACCTGAATGGCTATTTTGGTTAAACATGTTTTTTCCACCGTGTTGCAGATAATGTTTATATATGTGGACACTGCTGAAGAAAACCTTGCAAAACCATTCCTCACTCTTTATGGCCTTGAATCGGAAAAGAAGCCTACTGTAAGTCTCATGTTGGACTCATAATTAATATGTATATCCCTTTTGTCGTAAATGCATGAGGGCACATGTGTTCTATTGCTGATGTACGACTTATGAGTGGGTATGGGTGGAGTCCGATTGGTTACTGACTTGGATAATTGATTCCTTTAAGGTAGTGGATGTTAATAATAGCAGTTACTACTCTGGGGACGTGAGCTGACAATTGTCAAATCTTTTTCTATGTTGTTTAATTCCATAGATTTTTTTATTTACTAAAATTAGAAAGTTCACCAGGTTACAGCATTTGATACAAGCAATGGAGCCAAGTATCTTATGGAGGCAGATATCAATGCAAAGAACCTGAGGGTATTGAGATTTTTATTTTGATATTATGTTGAATTACCTGACTACTCGAGGCAGTTACTTAACTGTATTGTTGCTGGACAACAGGAGTTCTGCTTAAGTCTTCTGGATGGCACACTGCAGCCGTACCACAAATCAGAACCAGTGCCTCAAGAGGTAAGCTTTATTTATTTGCTTAAATCTTTTAAGGTGTATGTAGTAGAGAGATTGAATTCCTGAAACATTCTAACTTTGAAATAATCACAGGTTAAGGCCTTATAAGGTACATCATTGTAACTTAGTATTTCTGAAATATGTAGTTCAACATTTGTCAGTAACAATCTCCTCTTGACATTTCATAAGAATGTTTAAAATTGGAAAACAACATCCAATGGGGCTTCACGGGCGTGGGGTGTGTGAAAACCAACTTACATGGTCTTTATGTTGGTACTGAGCTGTTGTTTTGAAATGTTTTGGGTATTTTCCTTTTGTGAAATTTGCTTAACCACTAAGCAGTATGTTTGACCCTACATTGTGCAGAAGGGACTTGTTGAAAAGGTTGTTGGTCGTACATTTGATTCTTCTGTGCTGGAAAGTCATCAAAATGTCTTCCTTGAGGTATATGGTGTTTTTATTTGTTATATCTCTTCTCATTTTCAATGTACATAATTTGTTCTTTAAATGATCTTACAATCCTTTTTTAAATGAAAGGTTCATACACCTTGGTGTGTTGACTGTGAAGCGATAAGTAAAAATGTTGAGAAGTTGGCCAAGCATTTTAGTGGTTTGGACAATCTTAAATTTGCACGCATAGATGCTTCTGTGAATGAACATCCCAAATTGAAGGTGAGTCAATCTTTGCATTATCATCCAGGAAAAGGCATGGAATTATCAATAATTGACACTTTCTCTATCATGTTCATGCATCACAAGTTGCCGACTTGCAGTGCAATTTTCTATCTAGTATCAGTATTCTGTGCTATAGCTTGATTAATGCTTATCAAGGGCATTTCACCCACGTAAGGGCTAGTTTGGATGTACTCGTATCCAATCTCAATCCCTATGTGTTGGAGTGAATTGAGGTGGACATAAAATTTTCACTCAAATCCACTCCAACACATGGATTGAGGTGAATACGAGTACATCCAAACAAGGTCTAAGTGTGCGGAGAATACTTTCTGAGGCATAAACTTATATGGTTGTAACTATCTCTATAAAAACACAGCATGCTCGCATGCACACATGCAGGCTGCCCGCTACATGTATTGACATTGCCCACACTCCACACACGTAGGCACACCAGCTGCACACAAATGTTCACAGTTCACCCATGGTTCATGATTCATGTGCTGATGCATTAACTCGCAACTATAGCTTGGAAAATTGAAATTTTCATGAGACCCGTGTGTAGAAGGTGAGATTCTGGATGATTCACTGCACGTGTTAGCTAGTTTTTTTTTCTTCTGGAAGTTTTCTATTTACTGTTCGGAAACAGTTTAAACACTGTATGAGATAACTGAATCGACCACGTCCAGCCAAAGCTAGCAAATATCATGAGAATATAATATATGTAAACTCTTGGTTAGGGGTACATTGCTTTGGCTACTGGAAGCACAGTTTAATGCATCTTCAGGCTTGCATCTCTAAGTGGGTTTGTCAAATTTAAACTTTGCGTTACAATCGTCCATGTTTATAAGCAGGTGAACAATTACCCGACGCTATTCCTTTATCTTGCTGAAGACAAAAGCAACCCGGTATGTCTACAGGAACAAATGCAAACATGCTGTTAAGTTGATTTTGGACACACGTTAGTGATGTGCTGATTCTGTCTTGGAAATGCAGATCAAGCTTTCAAAGAAATCAAGTGTCAAGGACATGGCCAAACTCATCAAGGAGAAGCTGCAAATATCAGATGTGGATACAGTAGCGGCTCCTGACAATGTCAAGGATGAGCTATAACCTGCAGTTGACTTCTCCGGCGGCCCGAGTCTGAGTAAGCTAGGGTCCAGTGAAGGAAAAATTGCAGCATTTCGCGCCAACCTGATAACAGAACTTGCTTTGTTCGCGTGCTGTAACTTGTGTTAAGTTGGCAAGTTGACAACAGACAGTGGTACAGAATAGGTACGCAAATCAAACGAACATGTAAATCAATTTTAATGGGGTTCAGTTCATACATGAACATCCAGGGTAGTATCAGGTTCTCATTTCTGATTCAACATAAATAAAACAAGAGCATCTTAGTTTCTTTTATCGGAAGAACTGGAGTGTTCAATAAAGAAGAATCAATTGACCTTCTGCAAGTCTTGAAGGCCGCTCTCGCCGGCGAGGTTCTCTAAGCCCAGTAGACGCTCAGGCCAGCCCATGTCGCTGCCCTTGCGGAGGTTGTCGGAGGAGGCACGCGAGTGGTGGCCACCAACCCATCACAAAGCTAATAGTAGTCGGTCTGTCACAAAACTGCCTGCTGTTAGATTGATCCCATCGGTTGGCCCAACGGATAATTGGGTCTTGATCGCGTGCTCTGATCAGGGGCGTCCAACCCTAACTATGGTTGGTAGGCTCCCGTCGCACAGCGCTATAAAAAGGGAGATGGAGGCCGGGGCACAAGGCACGAGGTTCACCTGCGTCGCCAGAAACCCCACCTACACTCCTGACCCTAGCCGATCTAGAGAGGGGGCGCTTCCAGCGACTTGAAGTACTGCCACCGGCTTCACCAATGCCTCTGCACCGCCGCCTCTGTGACAGCGCCTCCACCGCGCCGTTCGACACTGCTGTCGGGACACTACACCGACAACATGGCTTCCTCCTCTTACTCCAAGCCCGACAGCTTGCATCTCCGAACCTCTCTCCCTCTATCTCTAAATCCCGTACTAGTTCATGTTTTAGGGCTTGCTATTTATACTAAATGTCAGTATATATGCTAGATCTATGGCTAGTGGATCTGGTAATTTCTATCAATGGTATTAGTCGCCTAACTAGGCGTAGATCTAGCTTATCGGGGTAGAAAACCGAGTAGAAGAATGTAGGAGGGTATTCGACTTGTGAATCGGATTGAACCCCAACCCGAAACCCAAACCCTAACCCTAGAACAAAGGTCGGCGAGGGGAGGACCTACCCGGTTCCTTGCCGCTGTCGCTACCGCCGCGCGCGGGAAGAAGCACCCGCCGCCGCCTTGCCAGCACGCGGGGAGTTGGCCGAGCCGTGCTCGGTGCCGTGCGCGCGACCCTGGCCGAGGGCACCGTCACAGGACCGCTTGACGGTGGGGCGCTCACCCACTGTGGAGCCGCGCTCTGGCAAGGTCTGCTTTGAGGGCTGACAAAGGAGAAAGGGATCTAGGGTTTAGGGAAGAGTCCCACCGCAGCGCGAATGGGAACTAGGGCACCGTCTCCCAAACCACTCGACGACGGCACACTCAACCTAGGGCGAGTGCGCACCGACGAGGGGACCGGCGGCGACGCCGCTCCGCTGCTCCTTTACTTTCCTGGCTGCGGCACTGAGGAGAAGAGAGGAGGGAGAGAAAGACTGGAATGAGCTTAGGGTTTCGGATGCAGCCGTGGACGTCGGTTTTGATCTCGCTAGGAGCACGGATGGTCATCGGATCACGATGGACGGTCGACGTTCGCTGGACCGAAATTGGCCTAGGCGGGGTTGGAGATTCCCGGCCCAGGCCTATGTTGCGGCCTGGGCGCGGGGAAGCGGGTGCGCGCGCCGTGTTGGGCCGCGAGCGCGGGTGGGTTTTCGCTGCTGGACCACGTACTGTTTCACCGGGCTAGGTCTAATGAACAGTAGATACTGAGTTATTCTTTTATTATTTTCAGAAGCAAATTTTGATCATTTTTTGTCCAGTTTCAATCTCTGTCAAAATTTGAAGCAACGGAATAATTTTTTCAGAGAGTAGATTAGTATGGTAAAATACTTCTGAAAAGTAGATAAATAATTTTTTTATTTTTCTGCTGCAATATTAAAGTTTATTATCTTCTAATTAAATTCGAACCAACGGGAGAATTTAATTTGAAGAGCAGTCATTTTTAGTCAGTAAATTATAATATTGTTATTTTTCTGACCAACGTTGATAATAGTAATATTATAATGTTTATTCATAAGTTTTTCCATGCATTAATTCTATTTCTGTCCAAAGGTAATATAGAATTAGTGTATAAGAAAGTTGTATGTTTTAATTTTGACCAACGTTAAATTAAGGCATGCAATTATTATGTCATGTTTTTCTCGCTATCTCTGATGGTGTTTTTCAAGACTCAACCCAATGGCATTTATCTCGTACATACCGCCTCTTGAAGGGGGGCAACTATAGGGTATGGCGAGAGAAGTATGAGCTAGCACTTGCGCTGTCTGAAAATAACCTAGCGCTTACCTTCCCGTGTCCTACTAAGCCAGTGGACCCGGTAAGGGAAGAAAATGAGACTGATGCTGATTTCACTGCTCGGCAGCGAGATCATGCAGAAAGTGCGGATCAAATATGATCTCGAACGTAAGAAATGGGACATTTCAAACCGCGAGTGCTTGACGGTGGCTAAGTCCACTATTTCAGATGCGATAAGGAGGTCTATTCTAGATTGTGACACCGCCACAGAATACCTCAAGAAAGTGGAGAGTCAGTCTACTGACTCTTCAAAGGCTTATGCCAGTACTTTGATCAAGAAATTGTTCAATGATTAATACACTGGTTGGTCGTGGCCGGCTCCAGCGGGCCGCTGTTATCGCCCTGCAGCTGCTGGCCGTCACGCTACTGCCCCCGCTGCCGCCCTTCCTGCCTCACGCTGCGGTGCGGCTGCTCCCCTTCTCGCCATCACACGCGTGGGCTTGTCCCTGCTGCCGGCGTTGTCGCGTCGCCGTCGCGTCCGCGCTCTCTGCAATCCTACGCCGCTGCCTAGCCCTGTCCGATGGCACTGTCTCTGCCGCATGTGCGCTGCCGGCCAGGCCATGCGCGGGGCCAAGCCGATGTCACGGCGGCCTTCATCTTGCCGACGTGGCACTCTTTCCGCCGCTCGAATCACCTACCTCACCGAACCCCCGAGCGTGTTCCACTGCTCATCGTGCCTGGGCCGATGACCCCAGTCACAATGGCGATGGGACGCCTCCCTGCCTCGCCCTGCCCCGCTAGCCGACGCCGGTGAGCCCTGCTCAGGTCTGGCCGCTCCAATTCAAGCGCGTCGCGCCAAGCCCTCCACTGTCTCGTCACTTGTGCGCATGTGCTCGTATTACAGCTATTGATCAGAGCCGACCGTCTTAATCCGCTCGTGCTCACTCGTGTGCCTCTCCACGGTATGACCACGGCTTGAGCTCTGCCTTTCTGCCCTCCAATTCGCCTAGCTCAGGGCTTCACAGTTTGATTCCTCGGACCAGTAGGTGGCATAAGAAGTCAACTAGGCGCCCCACCTTCCCCATGCCCGGCCAAGCACTTTTGGCCACCAATTTGGCGTTTTTCTTGCCACCGGCCAGGCACGCCGCCGTGCCAGTGAATTTGGCCACCGTGCCATGGAATATATATGAATGATAATTGGAGACCAGGCGGAATGGTACTTTAGATCTGGACTTGGTTGGGCATTCGAGCAAGGCTCAGATTGCACTTGTTCCGCCTGTGTCGATTGAGGACCGTCCGTTGCTGTGGATGGTAGTCAGGTCACAGACTTATTATCCTAAGCAGATACTTGCTTATGGGAGCGGGAAGACTTGTTACTCTCTTGTCATTGGTTTTGGCTCTTTCTGGACCGATTGATTGGAGGTGGGGAAAGGTGGAGGTCTAAGCACCATGCTGAACCGAGTCTCAAGCGTGGGGGCTTGGAGTCCAAGTTTGGACGAGGACCTGGACCCCTTAACAGGAGTGGAATGGGTTGGCCTTGTTTCTGCCTGGGGTATAAGCGGGGCATGTGTTTCAGGGTACCCAACTGGGATACATTGATTCACAAATCACCGTTTTTGTGAGACGGTAATGACTTGGCTATGGTCTAGCACCGTAGTAAGAATTGGAACTTGAATGGTGATGAAATGGTTCTGATTGCTTACCACCTGCTTGAAAGTAGCATAGATGCTTACATAGAATGGTTAGTTAATGAACTAATGATGACTGCTAATAAAATTGATTATAAGGACACACATTTAGTAATGCTTCCACCGATGCAATAACCCACAAGACAAATAAGCCATGCATATCCTTGGAGTCTTTTGTTTTCCTCCTGTCGGGTAAGTCTTGCTGAGTACAATCGAGTACTCAGGGTTTTATTCCCCCTGTTGCATATGATCGAAGGATATATAGAGCTAACCCTTGTGTGTGGAAACCTCCTTGTGGACTCAGAGAGGATTCCTTTCACGCTACGATCGTAGTGTTTATTTATAACCCTCACTAAAGGTTTTTATAAGAAAAGATGTAAAATCTGCTAGCATCTCTTGTATATAAATGTCCACTATGTTAATACTCCACTAGATCATTAAATGAATCTTTGCTTTCTCTATAACTCTGATAACATTGTTATATCCGTTGTTATAATCAATTGAGGTAACATCCTGCTAATGTAATAAAGTGATGTAAGAAATGGCTTAAGAATGTTGTAAGCTTTATTCTCTCATTTATGATCCTAATGGAAAAATGTGGATTTTCGAGTTCTCTCTTGGGGTGTCCTCGACGGAACAGCATAGTTTAGTGTTCTCTCTTGAGTACTTAGTGTCTAATGAAAGACAACTACTTCTGGAAGACATTAGATTAGGCGGTTCTACCACAGGTGGTATCAGAGCATAAATGAGGAAATAAAGCTTCAAAATCCTTTTCTAAACTAAAATTTGACAACATATTTTTGCAAAAAGTTAGGGCATTTAACTACGAAGTATATAAGTAGCCCTATTGCTATAGTTAAGCATCTGGAATAGGTTTAACTAGGCTTTCTCTGCTGGACTGACTCTCATGTAGTATAAGATCTTTAAGTCAGTCGCGCTAGTAATGCCTTAGT